TATATATATAATCACACACTTTTGTGAGCTCAGTCTCACTTCATCAGACACTGAAGTGAGTTTGGCCTCACAAAGCTTGTGCTATATATACAATCTACTTTAGTTTGTCTATAAGGTACAAATCTACCCTGACTTCTGCTTGAGGTACTCATTTTACATTGCCTTCCCAAAATGGCAGAGTTGTTAGTTTAGGATCTGGTGTGAGAATTGTGGGCTTAACTTTACACTTCTTGGGTTCCTGTTTATTTTTGTTTCAATGTATTTCCTAGATCAGTGTTTCTCAACTAGTGGGTTGCACCCCAAAAGTGGGTTGCAAGAATATTTGAAAGGGTTGGGAGCAGATTGCCAGAAAAAACCATGAAAGCATGGGTTTCCCCTTGTAGGCTGGCAGTGTTCCAGTGTGCAAGTGGCTACTTGGGATGGTTGGAGGCAGCAGGTGCACGTGTGCACATGCACATGACCAACATAGAGTGAGGCTGGGTTGTAGGAGCAGCCCCAGCCATTGGATGCAGGTAAATATAGGGATCAGGGGATGGAGGTCCAGGGGACTTTCCAGAGGGCTGCAGGGGCATATGTTTCTGTGCGTGTGCGTGCACACATGTGCCTGCCTGCCAGCGCTGGGGACAGTGGCCTGGTACGGGGCTGTGGCAGGGTAACAGGAGTGTTGGGGGGAGACGGTACCTGGCCCTTCAGCGGGGAAAGGAGGCAGGGATGGTCCTTCGCAGCAGGGAGCTGCATGCCTAGGCCAGTGGCACACTTTGGCCTCAGCTTGGGGGAGAGGGGTGCCAGCAAGGCCAGGGGAGGCAGGGGCCTGTTGGTTGGGCTGTGGTTGTGGGTCAGGACAAGCCATTGATCTTGGCAAATTGGTCCCAGTACGAAAAAGGTTGAGAACCACTGTCCTAGATCATGTTTCTGGTTTTGGTTGTCAGCTTCCCCCTCTGAAAAGAGTACTAGTCACTGCTGTACAGCCGTAACTCCTTTTTCATTAAACATAAAGAATCCCTGTATGCAAGACCTTACCCAAGACTATTTAAAATCCTTTAAAAACCTTTTACCATCACTTGATGCTATAGTTAGGTATACTATAGGTTAATCATGTTTTAAGTGCTGTTGACACTAACCAAAATCACCAGAGGAAAAATAGTACCAATACTGACTTCTTAAATTAATAACATTGATTACTAGCTGCTATAGTAAGCTACCTTTAATACTTTAACAAAATGCTTTATAGAATGCCTTACAAAGTATTTGTTCTTAACATACCATCTCTTTCATCAGCACTTTCCAGATAGCGTCCAATGGTATGTAGTTGTTTTCCTTTACAGACTTCCTGTGGTGGTCTGATAAGAGAATTCCCATCAAAATTTATATCTGTCAGCAAATGAAGATGATGGAGACCATCAGGCAAAGTTACCAGCTGATTCCCTGACAAAATACATGAGAATAGTTGATTATATTTGCATTTTGTTAATTTAAAAACATTTTGGGAATGAGCAGTAAAACCATAAAAACCTTTTACTTTTTATTCTGATAATGAGCTCATCACTACACACGAGGAAATGTTCTCTCTGCCTCAAGAAGTTTACTATTTAAGACCCAATTCAAAGCTATTGGAACCTAACAGGATTTTTTCCACAGAGTTTGGATCAGGCTTATAAAACAGACACAAATAGTACATCAGAGACTAGTAAATTTTAAGGTTGAGAGAGAAGATGTGTAGATGAACCCTGTATACAAGAAATGGAAGAGTACTTCAATGACAGCGTAGAAAAAGGAGAATGAAGAATTAAAGGAACCATTTAAAATGAGTGCAGGAGAGAGACAAGAGGATTAGAAGTGGCTTATTTAGGAGGATTTGGGAGACAAAAGTAGAAACAGGGTGAACTGAAAGTGAGAAGCAACTAGGAAAGTTCAGCAGGAACTTGAGGGTGAGACAAAGTCTGAACTAGTGTAGAGAATGCCAGTGAAGGGACTTTAACTTCGATATGGTCAGGGCAATGGAAGAGGAAGGGACTGCAGATCAGCTGCTCCCAGAGCTCTATTCGTCAAGGCAATGAATTAATCAAAATTCATCAACCGCCTCCTGAGACTGCACGTACTCGTGGACGTGACCCTTGGGGCTGACAGCTGCCATCCAGCAGCCACTAAGAGGGACATCCCACAAAGTCAATGACCCCTGGATTGGGTAATCCCAAGAATTGGGGAGTCACCAAAGTCTGCCAGAGGGATAAAAGGCAGTGAGGAATGACCCCCAATGGTGCCCTCTTTGACCTGACCAGCACCCTGCCCGTCCAGCCAAAAGGACCAGCCGGCGACCCCTTTCTGAAGCAACATCGCACTGAAGCCTCAACTGGCCATAGACAGCAGACTCCAGCTCTTGGGGATAGGTATATCTTGACACCAGTGCTTAGTATTTATAACTAGCTACTGTGAGTGTGTGTGCATGAATGTGTATGCATTTGAGGGGATCAGCCCCAAGGTTTATGATCTGACTTTTGCATCCATCTAATAAACTAGAATTTTATGATGATCCTGCAAGTTGATCCTTTGTAGCCAACAAGACAAACAACAAAAAATATCTGGCTGGACACCTCCCTTCAGATAGAACCATACATTGAACAGTCACATTGACTGCTTTAGGAAGAAAGCTACAAGAGAATTTTCCAACAAAAGCCAGGAATACTACAACCTCTCTCAACAAAGAAAAAGCTAGAATCCCTTAAGATCCAACAACAAATTAGTAATCAAACCAGCAAACAAAGGAAGAAATAGTCATCCTCAGTCCTCAAGACTACATCAATGAGACTAACAGACAACTGTCAGACACCAGCCACTCTTCCTTTGTTTGCTGGAAAACATCATATCCTTACTGTGCCTCCTTCATGAGAAATTGCTTGCATTAATCTCTCAGGGCATTGTTAAATGTGATCCAGGGATGTGGGGAGGGGGGAGCACTTTAATTAAAACAGCTCTGAAAGCCACTCTAATTAAAGCACATGGAGCATCTCTTATATCAGTGTCCCTGCACTTCAAAATGGCAGTTGGGGTGCTTTGTCTAAAACTCATTGAACAAGCTTTAGATAAAGCATCTTTGCTGCCATTTTGAAGCATGGGGACACTGATACACAAGACGCAGAGGCTGGCTGAGCATGATAATTACCACACGCCAGCAGACTGGATTGAGTCTGCTCTGATGTGCTGTAATTACAGCACACTGGAGCAGCCTCCATGCTCATGTACAGGCACCCTCTCTTTCCCACCTCAAGAATATTTTATATACTCTTGAAGATTCACAAACAAAGTAACCTAGCAGACTCATCCAACTGCAGTACCCTTGTTGAAGAGCTATCAGGATTCATAGATACCATCCTGAAACCACTTGTCACTCAAAGAGTAAGTTCTCTACAAGACAGCTGACTTCCTCAACAAGATCCAAAACATCAACCACCTGCCTGAGAAGCCCATACTTTCAACCATGAATGTCACTAACATGTACACTAATATCCCACACTGAAATACCTACAATAGGGACTACATTCAGATGTACAACCACAACCTATTGCAAAAATCATCCACTTCATCACTTTTAACAGCAGCACTTCTTCCAAACCAGGGCATAGCTATGGGCATGATGATAGTTCTCCAATATGGAGCTGACAATGGACAAAGTACAGAAGACACCTCAAGTTGCTGGAGAAGTACCAGCACAGCTGCCTGCAGAAGATCCTTTGAATCCAATAGGAAGATAGATGCACCCACATGAGCATCCTCTTGCACATTGGCATCCTCTTGCAAGCAAACACCATGAACATCAAGGTGATGATCATCCAACATCAACTTCGGTGGGCCGGCCATGTCATCCAGATATCCAACTCCAAACTCCCAAAACAAGTTTTATTCTCCCACACCAGTCAAGAAATACACTCAAAAGGAGAGCAGAAGAAGCACATCAAGGACATCCTTAAGGCCAAGTTGAAAAAATGCATCATCAGCTCATCAGAGATTATTGTCCAAGACTCCCCCAAATGAAGGAAGAGTCTACTGCAAGGATCTCAGGACTCTGGAACCTTACATCAACAGGAGACAGAAAAGCAGGAGCGGCAGAAACAGTGTGTCACGGACCAAATTAAGAATCCAGAGCCACCCACCCTACACAGAAACACATGCCCAAGTTGCAACAGAGTCTGTTGATCCTGGATCGGCCTCATCAGCCATCTTCAGACCCACAGATAAGACAATCATGGAAGCCAATCATCCTCGACTGTGAGGAATTGCCCAAGAAGATGACTGTGAACAAAGCAGAAAGTATCATTATGCCATTTTATAAACCCATTTCACATCTTGAATATTGTGCCCAGTTTTGGTCCTCACATCTCAGAAAGGATATAGAGCTAGAGAAGATACAAAGAAGAATAACAGGGATGATTAGTGGTATGGAGAGTCTTTCATATGAAGAAAGACTAAAGAGGTTAGGCCTATTCAGTTTAGAAAACAGATGCTTGAGGGAGGACATAAGGATTTAAAAATACTAAATGGTGAGGGGAAAGTAAATAGCGATTTATTATTTACTGTCTTTCACAATATAAAAACCAAGGGTCATAAAATTAAACTAGTAGGTAGTAAGTTTAAAACTAACAAAATAAATTTATTTTTCACACAATGTGCAGTTAAAGTGTGCCACTAGATATTGCGGATGTTACCAGACAAAAAGGGACTGGACAAAATTCTTGGAGGAAAGATGCATCAGTAGCTATTGAACATGGGAGTTAGGGATACAGCCTCTGAATCAGAACTTCCTAGACCTCAAATTCTGGAGGCTGCAAGTGAGAGAGGACCAATGGAAAAACAACTCTGGTCATACGCTGATCACTCTCTCTTCTGGCATCCACTGTCTGTCACTCTGTGATAGAATATACTAAGCAAGGTGAACCTGTGGTTTGACCTAGTAAATGGCAGTTCTTATGTTCTTATGTAATAGTGATTAATACTTAGTATCTGTTTCTGCCATATATTTCAAGCCTTTAATAGTCTTCTGGTTCATGTATAGTAAAATCAGGTCATTTGTATAATTAAACACAATTTGGAAACTACCATAAACATGCTGAGAGATGCTAAACGTCAAAGAGGTTATGAAATGAAGGTAAGAATGATACAGCAGTATACATGAAAACTGCCAGTCTTTTTATTATTATTATTATGTATTTGCCACTCAATCCCTTCCCTTATTTGACTTATTTATACCCTTTACTGGCTCAGTATTTTTATGCTTACATTTAACTAAGGAATTGGACACCTGATACTTACCACTCAGATTAAGGTGCTGTAGACTACTCAGTGAAATAATAGATTTAGGAAGCTGATTAATACAATTATTATTTGCAGTTAAACTGACCAAGTATTTCAATTCCCCTATGCCTTCTGGAATTTCCTTTAGTGCATTATGAGAGATATCAAGCTCTTGGAGGCAAATTAGTTTAGACAGCTCCTCTGGAAGTTTAGTTAACTGGCAAAGAGATAAAGATTATTATTACAATGTTCATTCCTTTAATTACAGCAACATTTGTTTACACAAAATGCTACAGGTAGTTAATCCTATTTGCAAAATGCTGTTTTTTCTGTGAATAATGTCTGTCAATAGAAGTTGCTTACTTTCCAATCTGATGGATAATTACTTGTTTTCCCATATGAATGTTGGTGCTAGGTAAAGAATCTTGAGGAATTGTCTCTAGGCAAAATACCAGAACATTTTTATCAGACCAATGATAAAACTGTAAGATAGGATAGTGTATATATTGCTGAATCGTTAGAGAAAGGACTTTCCTCTCCGCAGGAAAAAAAATCACTTTCTACTTCCACTCTTTTTCAGATATAAGGAAAGAAAATATTTTCTTCTCTTTCCTTTTTTTTCGTAACACTCAAAGATCCAATGAGGATAAGTCTTTTGTTTAACTTTTTACTCTGGTAAGGCTAAACACTATCTTAATATAATCAGTTATTACAGTAGAAGGCACAGGTCTGGAGAACAGTTTGTTAATTATATACTTTATTCCTCTGCAAATACAGGAAGCAGTTCCTTGTAATGGGTCACAGATACCTTTGGTAATGTCCAGGAGGTAAAGGCTTGTAAAAAATGAGGTGGTGAAAGGCTGATTCTTAAATTTTTGGTGGAAGAAAGATTATGAAAGCAAATAATCCTTTATATGTAAATTCTGACAGTCTATAAACAGGTGTGTGTCTTTACATTCTAAAATTATAAGTGGTAGGTTATGATAAAGGATTTGCTTCAGAAACAGTACTAATGTTTATTCTGATTTTTTTTTACTGGCCCAGTATCATTGTCTGAATTTGTCTGCACAAGTTGCACATCTGCCCATTTTATTCTAAAGAGAAGTCAGAGATGTTCTGCACTTCCCCATAAAAAACCTTCAAAAATAAAACAGCCCAGAAAAAATACTTGTAGAAGTGCAAGGCATTTTTCTGTATCATAATTAGTCAAAGTGCTTGTATAATTACTCATGCTGAAATCTGTAAGAAATCACTGAACAACATAAATTAATTCTGAGGGGCAGAATAAAAAAATAAAGGTTTTCTTTTCTTTTTTTTATAGAGAAGTATCAGGTAGGATTATTCACAAAATTCTAATTAGTCATTTTGCCTACTGATGATACTCATCTGGATAGAAGGCCCAGAGTGGAGGTGCTAGAGGAGTAGGATACACTTAGATTATTGCTATCAGTTTGAATCTTGTTTTAATCAGAATGACTAATTGAGATATTCCAGATTTAAGCAGTGAGGTCAATATCAAGCCTAAACTTTCTAAAGAGATTTTATTGTAAAATCAGATTATGTTACCTTATCTTGAATATTTAATATCTATACAACCAACATTAATGTTAAGAAGATACTTCAGTCAGTAGCTAATTAAACTTAAATTTTAGTTCCTTTAAAAACTGTTTTTCAGTTATTTGTTAATTGTAGGTGCGTTACAAAAAGACATAATGCCTACTAGGAGGAAATCTTGTTAATAACTGCAGTTAATAATTTTGAAGTACAGAAATCTGTCAGGTCTATGGGCTTTTTTATTCCTAAAGAACACTGTTTTCACATACCTTCAGACCATTTTTTTGGGAAAACTCCAGTTTCTTCAGCGATGAAAGATTACATATTTCAGATGGAAAAGATACAAAATGATTGTTTGACAAATTTAAATTTCTGATCACTTGCAGATAACCAGTTTCTGAAGGAATGCTCTGTATTTCATTATCTGAAAGATCAAGTGTCTGTAGACACTTTAAAGCACACAGTTCTTTGGGAAATGAGACAAATTTATTATGGTCTAAAAGTAGAACCTGGAGAGACTGCACATTAGAGACGTTTGCTGGAATGTTATTCACTTCATTTTGGCTTAAATTTAAGTAAGTAAGTTTTGTAAAACTGCACAAGTGTGCAGAAAATGAGGACAGTTTGTTCCTACTCAAATCTAGATGCTCCAAAAGTTTAATAAAAGAAATTTCAGGAATTACTTCTGAAATACAGTTTTCACTGAGGTTTAAATGTTTAAGAGTAACCAGTGCACACAATACAGCTGGAAACTGAGAAAGTTTATTATTGCTCAGGTCAACCTTAGTTATTTGTGTACAATTCTTCATTTCAACAGGAATGTGTGTTAATGCATTTCCTGAAAACTCTAAAATAGAGAGTTCTTTAATATGCGACAGTTGGTCATCCAAGGTGTTCATTTTATTTCTACTGGCACAAAGTTTCTTTAAATATTTTAGTCTATGCATATTATTAGGAAGTTGTGTTAACTGATTACCATGAAGAAAAAGATGTCTCAGCAGGGTACAATTACAAAGGTTCTCTGTAATGTTCTTGAATAAATTGTTGGCGAGGCTAAGAACACTAAGTTCTTGCAAGTTCTCAACCTTATCAGAAAGTACTTCCAATTTGTTACCGTCTAACCTGAGCTTTTCTAGTTTTGTCAGTTGAAAGAGCTGCACAGGCAAAAAGGTAAGTTTGTTATGATTCATTGAAAGTTCCTGTAGTCTCGTGAGCTGTTTAACATCCTTTGGTAAACTCTGAATTAGATTCCCAGATATGTTGAGTGTGATCAGATTTGGAAGGTAACAGAGGACTTTAGGGAATATTAAGATCTGATTGGAATCAATGCTGAGCTTTCTCAAATTTTTCATGCTAACCATCGTTTCTGGAAGAGTCATTAGATTATTTCCATCAAGTTTTAAATTTTCCAGGGTTTCAAGGCCTTCCAATGCCCTAGGGAATTCCTCAATGTTATTGTGACTGACAAAGAGTTGTTTAATACTTACAAGCTTTGACAACTCTTTAGGGAGATGTGACAGTTGGTTGTGGCTGATATTCAAAACTCTCAGTTTATACAGTAGAGAAATTTCAGATGGCAATGACATCAACCCATTTTCTTCAATTGATAAGACTTCCAGGTTTCTTAGACTACCTAGATTTTCAGGTAAAGTTTTCAATTCATTGTTGTTTAAGTGTAAATATTTTAAAGTTTGGATTTTAAATACTATTTGAGGGATTTCCCTTAGTCTTTTATCATTTAGTTTAACTGTGAAATGCTCATATTTTATGTCAGACAAAATGTGCTTTGGTATCCTTTCAGTCATTTTAAAATTCTGTACTAATTGCAACATGCCTATTTTGGCATCTGCTTTAGCAGTGTCTGTAGGGATTTGGTTTAGTCCTTCAAGGTTCACATCAGCTGGGATATCAGCTAACATGATTGTTTCTAACTTTTGAGAAATTTCCAGGTTTTCTGGTGACCATGTTTGTTTTTCCATATTTCTTTCAGACACTTTCTGAGGCACTCCCATTGGTCCTTCAGCATTTAGGTCAGCTGGGAATTCATCACTCTTTATTTCAGGAATAGCAGCAGGTAAGGATTCTTCAGCTTTCTGAAAAATTTCAGCTGGTTTTAATATGTTTCTCTTGATATGTTTTTCAGAAACATTTTGGGGAGGTTCCTTTATACCATCATTGTTACACTGTGCTACGTTGTCCGTCCCCTCTTTTTCAGGTGACACATTTTCTGATAATTTTCCCATCCTGTTAACAGTTTGAAGTGATTTTACTATATCATTATTGGCATCTGTTCCAGTAACTTCAAACAGATTTTCATTCACTTTTTTGGTATGTAGATCTGCTTTGAGGTCAAGTTTGTTTTCAAAAAACATTACTGATGATTTTCTAGCCACTTCAGGATCACCTATTGATTGTAATAAATGTTTCCTAGTATCAATCTTGGGAATCTCTTCCTGAAAGAGGTTCAACTCTTCAATATGTAGATCTGCTCTGATTTCATCTTTCTCTTTTTCAGGAGATGTACTTATTGGCAAATTTTCAGCCATTGCAGAGTTTTTTGTTATGCTTTTTCAGTTTCAGAAATACTGAAAAAAGAAAGTGTGGAAATTTAATAAAGCAACATATACTTTAACATTAGTAGACTTAGCTAGTGATTATAAAATAATTGAACAGTCTGGTTATTTATGATTTTTTAAGCAAAATTTGTCCTTAATTTGGCTGCTTTAGTGGTGCACTGATGTATTGGTCCATATTGGATCAGCACTGATAAAAGGAAAATTGACATTATCAGCAATTGGCTTTTTTTGGACAGTGTAGCTGATAATATCACTGATAAATGCCACATGCTGTGCAGCCATGGCATGGGAGGAATTTTGGGGTGGCTTTAGCTTACCCTGTAGCCACCCCTCCCAGTGCCACCACTGCCACCCGCCCCATCCCTGCCTGCCCTGAGTGCGGCCCTGGCCCAGCATGCAGCCCCTGGCCCTGAGCCCACAGCAGGCAACCTGTCCTCACCCCATGCATAAAGCCAGGGGGCACATGCCCCCCATGCCTCCTCCAGGGGTGCATGCAGTGGGGAGGAGCCATCCCCCTCCCCACACCCCTGTGCACCCGAGACAAAATTTGTTCTTTGGGAATTTCATGATATAATCAGACCCTGGGACTCGTTTAAGAAGGTCCTGAAATTATTTTTTTTACTTTTTCACTTTCGCTCAGTCCCTCATATATATACACACACACACACACACAACGCTTAATACTTAAAACATACCCTATTATTGTTAGTTTGAGCCGGGTTGCCCAATGCACTGGGGCTTTTTGGCATTTTTCTATAATAACTGATTGAATGAGGTATTAGATAAAAGTGCCAAAAAGCCCTGGTGAAGCACCCGATCTATACAGACACTGGGAAGCCAGGTCGAAATAACACACTTCCTTTTCTGGTCAAATGTTGTTTTTTTCGTGTCTGTCAGTTTCTTTCATTCCTTGGAGATCACAGAACAGCAGAAACTCCCTGTGCCTGAAGAAGGGTGATTGCACCTGAAAACTTGCAAAGAACTTTATTCCAATTACTTGGTCTAATAAAAAAATATCACATCTACCCAAAGAACCTGGCCTGCCAGCAGCCTAGGAGCACATTTCTCACAGAACAACCACTCCATCTCTGTCCTTGCTATCCATGGTGCTCCTTTAAAAGGAGAATTTGGGAACAAAAATCCATAAGCCATCTGGTCACTGAGAACCAAGGATTAAATATTGATATTGGATTTATAGATAATTTATCCAACTCTTGAATTTTTTCCACACAAGGAAGGCGAAACTAACCGCCTCCTCCCCCCACCATCATTTCCTCTTTTGATAGGCATTGATCTCCCAGTATTCAGCTTCTTCTCTTCTGCTAATTGTATGCCTGCTAACACCATATAAAAGAAACCACATAGACCAACATGTATATCTACCCAATCACCCTAAACACACCAAGAAAGCTGTAATATACAGACAAGTCCTCTGACACCACCAAATTTGCACTGAGAACACCCATCACCTTGCAAATCTCAAAAGGGCTTTGACTGAACAAGGACACTCCTCCAGAGAGAGAGATTGCACTTTTGAAAGAGCCATCCAGATGCCATGTGAAAAATTGTTGCAGTACAAAAAAGAAAATCCCCATGAATCACACCCCATTAGTTATGACATACCATCCTTCCCTGGAACCTATACAGAAAATCCTCAGACAATTGCAACCCATACTAGAATAAGACCCAGTTCTTAAAAAGAACTTTCCAGAACCACCCAGCTTAGCCTTTAAACAAGAACCAAACCTCATCACCAGAAGCAAACTTCCTATGAGCCAAAACACACTGAATGCATCCAGACCGTGTCAGGACAAGAAATGTAAAACCTGCCAACACATTTCTACCACTCCTACAATAACTACACCCCACAACAAAACCATCACCATTGCTGGATCTTACACCTGCACCTCCAGAAGTGTAATATATCTCATCCAGTACATGAAATAGCCTGATAGAAAAATACATAGGAGAAACCAAACAACAATTGTGTACCAGAATGGATGCAGACCAAAAATCTATCAAAGACAATACCCAACTACCTGTGGCGACACATTTCTCACAAGAAAACCACTCTCTCTCCAACCTCTCAGCTGTAATCCTCAAAGGAAATTTACAGAATACTTTTCAAAGACAAGCCTATGAACTTCACTTAATAAATTTACTGGATACAAAATCATGGACTAAATATATTCATTGGATTTATGGCACATTATAACCTGCCTGCCACCCAATAACCCCAGGTAACACCTCTACATTTTACCAGCTACATTTTATCACCAGGTCAACATCCCCCCGCCAACTACCTGTCTTACACCTATCATCTCCTCACTGCCATGCATTTGTATTTCCACAGACCTGCATTTTGCATTTTGGCTTCTGTTCCACCCAGGAGAGCACAAAACACCAGCAGATTCTGTCTATACCTGGAGAAGCGTGTTTGTGCCTGAAAGCTTGCAAAGAACACTTCAAACTATTTTGCTGGTTTAATAAAAGATTTACCCAAAAACTCTTGTTTGCCTGTGTCCTTAGAATAATATGGCTACAATCAGCACCCCCGCTACGCTGGAGGATTTCTCTCAGCCCCTCCCCTATGCTGTGCTTCACTTGTTGTGCCTTGCTTCCTATAATCAGAGGCGAGTAAGGATGTCTTACATTCAGAAGTTTATCTAATTTCACCCCAGCTGCGTCGCTGGCCCAATAAAAGATATCATCCTAATAATTTTTGTCCTATCCTGGCAACATCAGTCTTACAACATCAATCTTACAACATCAGTCTTACAACATCAATCTTACAACATCAGTCTTACACTACATTGCTGTATTCTTAACATACACATGTAAAGATAAACACAGATACTTGAAATAATAAGGACTGCAAGGAAATAAGATGATGCTGACAATGAATTGGTTTTAAAAGGAGTCTGATTCTGTGCCCCTCAGGCACTCAAATGGCCACGGCCTCAGGCGAGACGTGACTCACAGTGTTCTTCTTACATCTCAGTTGCTTTCCATCCTGTAAGACGCCTATGGATGATTTATGCCAAGGACAGACAAGGTTCTTTGGGTAAACCTGGTTGATATCTTTTATGCGACCAACTAAATAGATGGAAATATTTTTCTTAGCAAGCTTCAAGGACCGGCTTGAGGGTCTGAACAACACTTTGACTCGTGTGTGTGGGGGGGGGGGGGTTCTGAAAAAAAAAATGGAGCTGCCCA